CTGCGTCGTTAAGTGCTCCAATAGTTATGCGTCGTATCTCGTGGGGACGAAATTTCACAGTTTTTCACCTCGCTGATGTTTTGTGGGACAGCGACAACGATGGACCCGTGCCGAACGACGCGGGAAATTTGGTCTCCCGATCATGTCTGCCACTGTGTCGGCACGGCTGACATATTCTAGACTGCCGCTTTGCGCTCTGCGTTTGTTTTCGTACCAGTAACGTCTCCATACCTCAGCTCCAACTGAAATACCATCCCACACTCGTTGGCATGCAGTGCACATTTCGTTGAAGGAATGCCCTCCAAAGAAGTTTCGTCCCCATCGTACGTGTCGATGATATTTCCGGACCAGTATGGCACGCAGTCTGCACTTCATGAAGAAAGCTTCGGATGGTACAAAAAGTGACAAATATGAATCTAAGGAAAACTCCAATGAAACTTGGAATCACTGGACAATCGGTGTTTGAGTATGGAAGTTGATGTGGTGTGCTTTCTTTTTTAATCAGCCTTCTTTTGGATGTGGAAACGCTGACACCCCGAGTCTTGTTGACAACAGTTTTTTTTCTTGGCACCTATCGCAAAGTTGTTCGAACTGGAAGTACCGACCACTGGTCCCTTTTTACCTGTAAAGTGTGCACCTCCCGGCTATGATGAGTGGTATTTGCTTGACAGCCTTTGATGGTTAAAACCGGTTCCCATTTAGTTACGCCGCCCAAAAATATTTTCACCTGGTTAAACTATGCCACCTCTTCTAGGTGCAATAAGTGTTTTGTCAAGTTACGGTTGTACAAGTACCTGTGTGCCGAAAATCAGCACCTCGCACAACCAGATCACAACAGCTGACCGCAAAAGCCTTCAACGGCCAAACCGTGAGTTGGCCGGCCACTTGGTTTTCTCGGCTTTGAAGCCACCTTTCGTAAAGTTGTTTCAATTAGAAGTACAGTGCACTAGTCCCTTCCTACCTGTAAAGTCTCCATCTCCTACGACGAGTGGTATTCTCTTGACAGCCTTTTCACGGTCAAAACCGTTTCCCATTCAGTTACGCCGCCCACACCAAATTTCCACCTGATTCTCCTATACCACCTACTTCTGGTATTATAACTGTTGTGTCAAGTTACGGTCATGTCCAAGAACCTGTGTGTCCAAACCTGCACTTCGCGCAGCCCGGTAATAACACAACATTTTGGGTCCAATATTAGATATTCCTGACAGATTTATCCTTTATTCGTTCGAACCACAACTTTTACACTTGCTGTCTTAATAAAACTTGGCCCACTTAGTGCACAAACTTAGTGAACATCTCACTCGCCTCCAAATATCATCGCCCCAGCAGTCCTACGTTTACAGCGACGAGCGAAATAAATTTCCCACTGAGAGCAATTATGGTGGCGAACGTCTTGCCTTTCAGAAAATTGCTCAAACACCTTTTTCGACCGCAACTAAAGAAACTACCCCCAATAACGACTCCCACTCAATATGTAAGAAGCGGAGAACATCTAGATGCCATTCTTAAACCTGCCCCAGCACTCATGCAATGTCACCCTCTACTTATCGGCTCAAAAAGCAAAAGTTCCGTCCGTGCGCGCCTCCGCCGCCACAGCTTCGCGCGCAAAAAGGCGCCGCAGGCTGCTGAGCGCGCCTCACTGCCAAACGCCAGCTCCTCCGCTAACGGCGCTACGCGCGTTTTTCAAGGCGCCCCCTATAGTTCCCGCACGGAGCGTATAGAACCATTCACTTTCGAACCGATGTTTCTACAAAAGGTCCATTCTTGGTGGCAATGAACGCCATAGTTGTACAGCGCGGACGAGGCATAAGCCTGCGTGGCGCTCAGTTCTTGCGAGCAGGGGCTCCAGATGACCGGTACGGTGGTTCCTGCGTGGGACTGTGCTCAGGTAATCATCCTGGGGGTATCCCTGGCCCAATGATGGTTGCTAAAAGTCTCAGGGTGGCCATGTCTCTCCTGGTACCGAGCGACGCTGGTCCATCCTGAGGTTCTAAGTAACTGGCTCGTCGAAATGTCGCTTGGTTGGAGACGAGGGATCGGGGAACTCCGGGCGTAGACCCCGTATGCGGCTTTCCGCTGAATCCGCTCCAGACTTTCTTGTGTTGACGTGGATTGAGGGGACCAGATGGGTGGACAATATTCTGGGATGGGCAGAACAAGGGCGGTGTAGAGTTTCGCCATCACGATGGGTCCTTGGCCCTTGCTGATATTTTCTACGTATGTACCTCAGCAAACGGCGGGAACGCGATGCAATGGAATGAACATGGTTTGAGAAGGTTAATCGGGTAAATTACTTAGCTAAGGATAAAGAAAAGGCAAGTAAGTTGGTGAAGTAATTCAGATCATTATGAGGAGCCGGGATCGAAGAACCAAGTTTGTCGAACCTCACTTGTTTCCTCGACCTCGGGTTTACGGGGTTCTCGTAATCATGTAAATGACTTCACCTACACATCATTGTCTTCACCAAATACCACGCGGGCCAAGCAAATCTAGCCGCGCTAGTATTTTAGAGCGCCCGTTTCTGGCTTGAGCGGCGTCGGCGTAAGCGCGAGGTCACGTGACCCCGGAGGTCAAGCGACCCCCACCCCCCCCCCCCCCGAGGTCATGTGACCCCCCATGAGGTCACGCGACCCCCCGATGTCACGTGACCCCGCCTGACGTCACACGACCCCCCCCCCCCCCCCCCCTGAGGTCACGTGACCTCAGAGTCACCTATCCCTCAGTACGCTTCCGTCCTCCTCCTCAAGAGCTGCGCTCTAATCCGGCGTTACAGGGAATTGTAAACGGCTTTCATTTTTTGATTACTGCCCCAGTGACTCCGCATTATTCGTCCCGGCGTTGGACCATTATGCGGCATTTCCGAAGGTGGGAAGAATGCGCGTGCACAGCTTTCATAGGCGCTCAAACACGCGTTCCTGTACCTTTGATTCCATGTCCAAATTCCTAGCCTTTAGAACGGTCTTCATCGCAACAGATACATGACCCATATCAAGTAAAGGCTACACCTCCAACGCGCGCATCTTGCCTTCTATCGTGCTTTGACAGCGCGTGCTCACGAGGCGAGGAAGTGTTGTTGAAAGTAGAAAGCCCGCGCTAAAGACAAAACGTTTGCTAAAGATGTATATATATATATATATATATATATATATATCAGGGTGTCGAACCGGAACCGAACCGAACCGAAAACCGGAACCGAACCGGTATTTTTTCCGGAACTGAACCCGAACCCGAACCGTTATATTGTTATCGCGATGAACCCGAACCGGAACTGAACCGGAAAAAAATAACGGTTACCGGCTCATGTCAAAACGGTTCGGCCACGCGCTGTTGACAATGAATGTGCTATCAATGCCATTTGTTTTTTAAGTGCCGTCAACTGACACACACCTCGCTTACATATTTTTCTTCTCCACTCAGTCTTAGGAATATAAACGCTGCATCCATGAATCTTGACATAGGAACCAGTATTGCGCTGGTCGCGGCTTGCACGGAAGAAAATTGGAAAACTGTGCAAAAAAAAAAAAAAAATCGCGTCACGGGATTTTGTTTTCCTACAATCTCGTAAATCCTAAATGCTGCTGTGTGCTCATTTCGTAACACGTTTCCAGAACGCGCGAGTTCTTGAAGCTTGCTTCCATCGGAATGAGAAAAGAAAAGGCTGTGGAGTTTGATAATAATGCATCCGGTTTCGTGTAGGCACTTAGAAGCTAACATATTTGTGAGACAGCGAAGTCTTCTATTTTAATATTTATCCTATTACGTCCTTCTGGCGTTGCGTTCGGTGAAGTGTTTTTCATATTCCGTATCTTGTTTAATGAAAACTTCTTTAGGGTCTAATTTGAGTTACCGAAGGCTAGTTCAAATAAAGAAAGCTGTATTTTCTCCCCACTGTTCCTTCAATTGCTTACACGCCGAGGTGGCGGGATAGTTAGCGAGTTCTACTTCTAAGTGGGTTTGTAAGGAGGTCGCGGATTTTACAGCTACTGCGTCGGACCCAATTAGATGAAGTCCGAATGCGTAAACGTCGGTGATTTAACCTTTGAGTGCACATAAAGAAACCATTCCTGGTAGAAATCCCTGAGCCTTACACTACGATGTATCCCGTTTCGTATGTGCTGATTTCAGATGTTTTATTTGTAATTTATTTTGATGTTGCAATTTGTCATTTATAATTTCCGAACCGGTTCGCGAACCGGTTCTGCGCCCCGAACCGGTTCGCGGATCGAATTAATCGAACCGGAGCTGAACCGGAACAAAATAAATTTACCTGAACCTGAACCGTAACCGAACCCGTATTTTTTTCGGTTCGACACACTGATATATATATATATATATATATATATATATATATATATATATATATATTTGTTATGAAGTTTTACGACGTCGTTTGGAAGTTAGGTGATAGGCAGTTGTGATGCATCGAACAAACATTATTCTTGGAGACCTCTAAAATTTCATTGAGGGGAACGTAACAATTCGACGAGTGTCGACTCAGTGCATTTACATAAAAAAAAGAAAAAAGAAAAAAAAAAAGAGGCTAATTTAAAGAAACACAATGACAGCTCCAGTTTTCACTAATATTGGCACCGAGCAGGAGCATTATAAGGTCCCTCGATAACTTTTCTTTCAATAAACTTCAGTTGCGATTCAGCCGTTGTCCTGTCGTATTCTTCACCCGTTCTTCGTCCCTGCTTATCTAAGGCTGTTTTTCATCAAGTTTCCCTCGATAAGGCCTCCACGTTTGCTCTGTATAGCGTCACGCTAGGCGGGCAGGGGCTTATATATGGTGCCAGCTGAACGTGAAGGAAGATTACATACAGAGAGAAACAGAAAAGGCATACACACTGCTGGATTAGCAACTGTTTAATAAAAGCCAGGGCGCGGAGGAGCGTCACAGCCAACTGAGTGCGCGACTCGTAAGCTCCACGTGGCCTACAAGACGTGGTGGAGCTGGCGTCACAAAAAGCACAACAGCTTAGAGTTCAAGGGACATTTGCAGGACTCAAAAACATCGCACACTCATGTTTTTATTCAGTTCTGATACCAGGAAAACGAATCGCTACATTTAGGCTGCGACGTACGCTCGGACACGAAACAAAAGTTGCTCAGCACCAGCGGGCTGCGCGCTTTGAGGCGACGTCGGAAGTGTTTCAACTACATGCACCGATATGAACGCATGAGAAAGACTTCAGATATCTGAACGCCACTTGGCGTACAAAGGCGACCATCATTTGATACCCCCCGTGAGTGCTGACAACACCACCCAGAAGATAAGGCATGCGGGTTACGTCATCATTGGTGAATCTCCGATCCACCCCAAACGGCCAACACATCCGCTGTAGCTCGACGGCGGCGATGCTGATGCGCGCTGGGTGGCGTGGATCCACGATCGACGACGTTTGGGGAAACAGGTACGGGCCTTATCTGCTGGGTGGTATTGGCTGTGCCCGGAGGCCCGAGTACCTCGCAGCTTCTTCACTCGCGTTCACCGCTTCAGCGTAGCCAGCAGGATGTTCTCCTTGGAATTGCCGACGCCGCCATCTTCGGCGCCATCGTGTCTGAAGAGAAAGAATCCCATGAAAACGATCCGATATTAGAAATCTAGAACTCTCGTCTGTCCATCACTCTCTTTCGCAGCATAAACTCTGTCCTTCGGTCACCCATCCTCTACTAAAGGTGTTAATTGAGCGTGAAAAACTGTTACCATGCGGAGAGCAAGTCGTCTGCTTCTTGTGCAGGAGTTGCCCTTAATGCTAAATGCCTTGAGGTCTACCCGCTATATATATATATTTTTTAATTAACCAATAAGAGTTTGGCCTTCTGACATCACCGTAACCCGTGTGCAAGAAGCAGACAAACTTGCGCTCCGCATACTCCTTCGTTCCACTATGACGCGTTGCACGGATCACGGTTTCCATGACAACCACCCCGTCGTAAGCGTAGTCATAAGCGGTCGCGACGCAGTGAATCACACTCAAACGAACATGTCTGAACTAGAAGGTAGTCGCACCGCTCAAGGAATCGTGCAAAAGACACAGTGTCCACCGCAGACACGATGACAGAATTATATGCGGACACGCCTTCGAAGAAGTTTTGCTTCATACTTTTGCGGAGCGGAAGTTCGTCTGCTTCCTTCGCTGGGGGTTGTGGCAACGTCAGCACGCCGAGCTCTGATTGGCTCCGATTGAAGGAAAGTGGGTAGAGCTCAAGGCAGCCTGCTTTGAGCTCGACCTACTATTCTTCAATCTGAGCTCGGCGTTCTGACGTCACAGCAACCCCCCGGCAAAAGAAGCAGACGAATCAGCGCTCCGCATATGCATGCTTCGGCCATGATTGCAGATAGTTTTCCTATGGCCAATCTCACGGGATGGTCATATTGGGAAAAAAACAAAACAGACATTTTTTTTTTTTTTTTTTTTTACCTGGGGACGACGGACGAAAAGGGGACACGTCGTGTCCGGTTTCCTCAAATATGTGTGACATCAACCAGCTCGCCTCTTTAGACTAGGACGGTGAGTGTAATGCTCTGAACGCAAAGATGCAACCGGGATGGACAATAATAACGAAAATAATTCCCGGAGAAGGGGAACAAAGGACAAACACACATCTCTAAACACAAGTAGGTGACTGGAGCGCGACTGAAAAAAAAATTCGCCTGGCCCTGGTATTTAACCAGGGACCTCTCCATTTCCAGTGGAACGCTCTACCAACCGAGCTAAACCGGTGGGTTTTAACAGGTGCCACCAGTCTCACACCCACAAGGCCTGTATTTTAAGGTTGTGGTGTTAAGGTAAAGGATGTCCTTTGTACCCCTTGTTCCGGCCCTTCTCCAATAATTATTTCCGTTATTCTTGTCTAGCTCGCTTGCACCTTTGCATTAATTACATCATTATATCATAACCTTAAAATGCAGGCCTTCACCCTTATTGGTGTTAGACTGGTGACAGCTATTAAAACTCGCTTGATTCATTGACGTCTAACTCCTGGTTAGCCCATTGGTAGGGCGCGCCACTGGAAATGGAGAGGTTCCTGGTTCGATACCAGGGCCAGGTGGTAGAAAGTGTCCTCCACGAAAATTTTCAGGGTCGTTTTCACGGCAACAATAAACTACGCATCACCCAGCGCCCATTCTCCACCCAAATGTAGTCCTAGCGGTCGGAACACCGTTATCTTAGAAAAAAAGTTTTAGGCGATTTTCTCAAGTTTTTAATGAGACCGCGGCTTTACGGTGTTTCATTTTGTCAATAGGGAGTTTTCGTAGATCCTTTCCGCTCTCCCGCAACGCTCTCGCGGTCTACGAAAATTCCCTATTGTATGTTGCATCGAAAGCGGCGCTCGTGCGCATGCGCAACGCTAGCGTTGTCTGCAGAGTTTCGGATCCCACAGAAGTTTGAGAAGAACGTTGCGGGACAGCGAACACGCGCTACGAAAGGTGAAGCAGAGGCTCGAACAGTGACAAAGCAAATTTTCCAGATGGCTACCGAACCGCGCCATACTTCTTTTTTTTTTTTCGGGGACCTACAAGGTTAAATATGGAACCATGTTTTTCGGCCTACGTGGAAAGTATTTCAATAAAACAAACGTGTAAAAAAAGTTTCTTACTGACAAGTTGGATTTACTGAAATGAGTGCCACAGGCGCCAACCATGCCCTTTCTAGGTTTGACGAATATTTGGCCTATGTGGACATTTGCTGGCTCATAAAAACAAATTGTTTTTCTGTTAGACATTTTTTTGATGCGGGCAACGTACTGTACTCAAACATCCGCATTTTATCACCACCGCAAACGTCACAACCTCCACGGAGTTTCAGCATTCTGCGATTTTTTAGCTTATTTAATCGGATAGAATGCCAGAATTTTATTTTCTCCATCGGACCTCATATTTCAAGAGCTTGTAGCGTAGCCGCGACCATGTCTTACCACCGGTGTCAACCTTTCCCTTTTTGTTTTCCGATAATGAGGAAGAGATACGGCACTCGAGATCTTACTAAACCAATGATAATCGCCTCTTTACCCGTTGTCACCAGCGGCGTACCAACTTTTTTTGGGGGGGGGGGGGGGCAGCCCGGGGGGGGGGGGGGGGGAGGGGTGCGGTGCGGTGCCCTTGGCATTTCTTGGGCTCCGCCGACCTGTGTTTGCCCTGCCCACTGGCGGCTGTTTCAAGAAGGGGGGGGGGGAAGCAAAACACATGCTTGCCCCCCCCCCCCCCCCCCCCCCCCCCAAATTGGTACGCTCATGGTTGTTACCTCAAGAAAAAAAAAAGAAGAAAAAGAAAAAATCAAGTTTTGCGCGTTGTTCATACGCCGCCCGATGTAGTTCATAAAATATCTGGTGGCTGGAGAAAGAAGCGATGCTTTTGGCGTTTGAAACGCGTACATCCTGATAAAGCAACACGCATATCGAATTTAAACGGCGCCTACATATATCTTAATCCATCTATTGATTGAGGGGAGGGGGATTAGTGGGGCTCCGCGAGATCACCTGTCGGGTTGGAAGGTGTTCTCGTAGATGGGATTGTCGTCGTCCTCTTCGGTTGCGGTCGCCAGCGTCGGGGACATGTTGAGACGGCGCGGGGCAGGGGCAGGCTTGCGGATGGAACTGCGCTGGTACCGGCTAAGTACTGTCCGCTTGCGAAGCGCCGGTGCCTCCTGCAGCGAACCCAAGCGGGATTAAAGTTCCAGCTCGGTGCACGATGGTTCAGCGTGGTGGCGACTAAAGTTGGTGGCAGGCTAAAGGCCGACGACCAGACTTGAGATTCTGCAGGGCAAAAGATCCTCCTCACCATGGGGGAGGAGGAAACATGCAACGGTGGACAGGGTAGAAGGGGAGAGAGGAGGAAGCGAGGGCCCGTCACTCTTTCCACTTTAGATGAGGGAACGCTGGAAAGGAGGAGAGTCTCTCCTCTCCTCCTCTCCAGCTTTCGCTCAGCTAAAGTGAAAAGAGTGGAGGGCTTTCGCCAGACTCGAGATAATGCGAAGGTATTTAGAGATCACTCCGCGTAGCGCTTTAAGAATGCTGTGGAAATCAAATCGGGACAAGGAAGATCGGAACACTTAAACAAATGCTTCTCCGAAGTCACATCGGTGTTATTTTGATGCTTCCGATTTCGAAGCAGAAAATTCGGACACGGAAAGAAGCGTACGAAATACACAAATATCGCGAAAATACGTGGTCAGCGTTCACAGTCACGAGAGCTCTGGCCGAGAATAGGCAAATCAACCAATCGGTTTGATCACAGAAAAGTATGGAAAGGAATCGGCGAGTTTTCGCCTACGTATTCTGGGCCCTCGTTGCTGTAGTCAGGAGGGGGGCTGCTTGGCGCCAGTAGAGCCGTCTCCGTCAGGGGAACAGACACGGCATCTTTCTTCTTCTTAGTCAGCTCGGCGGGGTCTGGAAAAAACAAACAAACAAAAGTACGTAAAGCCGCTCTTAGGAGGCGACATCGGACACCAAGCTGTGCACAGTGGAGTCACGGAAATAACGTGTTGGTGACAGGTGAAAAACGAAGTGGAGGCTCCTCCCACCTCTTTCCACTTTAGTAGAGAAATCGCTGGAGAGGAGGCGAGTTCCTCTCCACCGTTCGCTCCGCTGAAGTGGAAAGGGGTGGGTGGAGCTTCCACTTCGTTCTTCACCTGTCACCGACCATATGTGTGGGCACAAGCTCACTTCACAACGTTGGGGATACTCACAAGTCGAATGATGCTCGTGTACGCCACTCCCACGTCTCGTGGTCTAAACAAGTTACTGCCATTTTTGTGTGTCATAATGTTGTTATCATACTGGCCAGTGCACTCGCGGATAGAGCTCCGAAATGAGCAGTACATGGTCACTTTTCCCACTTGAGTTGATCGGTCTGATCTACGAAAGGAACTCAAGCAATTTTAAAGCCAAAAAAAAAAAATCATTTTTTTTTTTTTTTGTAAAAATGGGGCATTAGAGTATGGCGGGATGGATGAAGGATATTTGGTGTGCGGGTGGCGCAATTTATTTACATTACCATAGTCGCATATAGACCGTTTTACTGAAAGAGGGCGAGAGAGAAAAGGGGAAAGGGCTACCGGCGCTTTCCTCCTTTCTGATTGTGTAGAAAGAGTGAGAGTCCCGAATGACAGGCTTCACCGGTGTTGGGTGTCTGCTGTGCGCGAACTTCGTTCGCGCTTTCTTTTCTGTTTTAAGCTCGCAAACTTAATTAGAGCCAGAGGCTTCGATGGCAACAGTCCCCCGGTTATCAGGACACCATTGCCGGGTCATAGGGTGCACGAATAAAAACAGAAAGCATAGAATACTGTCCGAGGACATATGTAGCTTGCAAGGAATCCAGCAAGGCGAGAGCGGCTGCAATGTCTTTGAGCTCCATCGCTTTCCACATGACCCCTGTCTCCGGCGGCAGTGGATTGCGTCCGTAAACCGAAAAGGCGTTTCCTTAACGCCATTCTCTCGACTTTGCTCGGAACATTTCGTGAATGGAGCGCGCACCGAACACTGTACCGCCGATGAACATGGGGTACGCTCGCAATGTGCGTGCGAGTTTTCTCATGATAACTGCTGTTTCAGCTTGTAAAATTTCGTAACTGAATTTATCTTAATAGTGATAATTTGCAGTGGTGACTGAATCAATTTTATCATCTACAACACTTAGTTGAAGGCTTATTTCCGCTGCCGGGTGAGGCTGGAAATTGTTAAAAACGTAATTCTAATGTTGTTTTTTTTTTTTTTTTTTTTTTTTTTAATTGCGATTTTCTGCGCGATACCAGATAGCCGGCAAAAGCGCTCCTTGAAGTGCCGCTGGTGGGTTGTTTCCGTTAACTAAGGCGCTTTGAGGCGCTTGATAGTCGCTGCAGGGAACGTCTCGTGTGTTGCGATCTGCGTTTTCGAGCCCAGTGTGCACGTTTCTTTGTTCGAGTCATGGCATCCGCCAGTGTGGCGACGGGGGGAACAGCGGCAGCGAACGTGCCAGCTATAGAAATTGGAGGTCAGCACCGAAAATATTGCATCAAATAGTGAAATAATTCGTGGCTGCTTCGAGGCTTTCTGAGGTTCGATAAAAGTACAGCTAGAGCGTCTTCGTCTTTCATTCAGAAGGAAATATAAGAACAGGGACACGAAGCTAATAAAAACAGCACAGCAAGACGATATGTAGCAGCTCCGGGCGTTTACAAAGTTAATTGAGGTTCCCGTTGCGTGTATCGCTTGTTGATTACAACTAAAAGCGGCTACGTTGAAATAGGCTCATTGCAAGCAAAAATGTATGAATGGTTCATCATTTCCAGTCATCCGGAAAGCAATGGAGCTTAAAAACATTCCAGCCATACTTGCTTTGCCGGATTCCCTGCAAGCTACATATAAGCCTTCGGACAGTATTCGACGCTTTCTGTCGTTATTCGTGCACCCTATCACCCAGCAATGGTGTCCCGATGACCGGGGGACTGTCGCCATCAATGACCATGGCTCTAATTAAGTTTGGGAGTTTGAAACGTAGGAGAAAGCGCGAACATAGTTGGGGCACTGCAGACGCCCAACACCGGCCAGGCCTCTCATCCGGGACTCGCACTCTTTCTACACAATCAGAAAGGGGGAAAGCGCCGGTAGCCCTTTCCTCTTTTCTCTCTCGCTCTCAAAATGGCGCCCACGATAAAACGGTCTATAGGTGTGACCTACGTGTGCCAGTGCGAAATGACGCCACGGAGCCAGAGAGCGAACCATATCGTTCAGCACTATTAAAAACAGCTCAAAAGGACGGGACAAAAGTAGGAGGACACAACACAGACGTCGATAGCGTCTGTTTTGTGCGCTGCTTCAACCTTGTCTCAAATTTTGGCGCTGTTTTTTTTTTAAATTTTTTTATTGATGTCGTTTGACAGCCAATTTACCCAGCATATCAACCCTTTTACAGTACATCTATTTTACTTTCTCCTCCGCATAAATTGATGACGTAGCGCGATGATCACCAAAAAGGAAAGGCAGTCAGTTCCTATTCTTAAAATCTGTTCTAAAAATTAAGCAATTTTTACCACAAAACCTTATATGAAAAAAAAAAAAATAATTTTAAGACGAATACTTAAGAAAAAAGCTCTTGCCTACTCCTTCATTATAATAGAGGAAAAATTTGGTAATATCTACTCGTTATTTATCTAATTACATAATTTACCCATGACTTTAATAGCTTGCCCTACGATTCCATAAAACAAAAGGAATATGTTAGCAAAGCTACTTTTGAGTATCTATATTTCTTTTAATAAAGTAAAGCCGGTTTGTAGCTATTCAAGATTACTGCCGTGGGACTTTAGCCCTAAAGGTGTACCCTGCGAATTTTTTAGCTACCCCAACTAACTATATTTTCGGAATCACCGGCCTTTACTCTTTCGGGTATGCTAGTTAGTATTGCGAAATTCACAGTAGTTACTGTGAAATCGGCAAGTGAAAATGATGCCCGAACCAATATTCAAAAATATCCGCGCTTTTAAGTGCCGTGACGTCAGGGGAAGGCATGCCTCCTCCAAGGTCGATGTGGCAGTCTAAAAATTGGCTACGCCGAGCATTTGTTTCGTGCTGCTGCGCGGGTGCTGGAACGAGCTTTCCAAGCATTCGTTTCACACCAGGAAACTGCTTGTAATCAGTTGGGAACAAAGTGCACAGTCCAAATTAGTGAACCCTTGCTTTCCGCTGACGTCACTTTAACACTGTTGCCAATAGAAAACTTGCACTTTAAAAAACGTGGTGAGGACCAAAATAGTAAATTCAATAACTCTGAGAAAAAAATTAATATTTTGAGCCAGTATTGGGGTTTTCTATTTCACCGATGTTTGTTGGTGAGTTTAGCAAATTTTCAAACAAGCCGGGGACTTTGAAAAAAAAATAATAACGCCGGAGTATTCTTTCATCAAAGGCACGCATATCGTCTCGATTTCCTTCTCCTGCATTTCCAACAACAACAACAAAAAAAAAACTCTCTGTAGTTTTGTCAGGTACAGTATACCTGACCCCTCTCAAGAGCTCGCGCCATCTAGTAGCGGCAGTGAGTTATCAGAATCCGCCATTGTTTGGGCAGACAGTCTGAACCAAGCAATCGTATTGATAACGAGTGCTTCGTCTGCGTTTGGCAACGACGATTTATATAAAAAAAAAAAAATAGAAGGTGGTGCACATTATTGACGAGGTTCATTCAATCACGCGCTTCGTTGCCAAGATGGAAAGATGGATGCATGTTAAGGGCTATATCTTTTGTAACAAGCGGTATAGCATGCGCCACCTAGTGTAAGTCTAAAAAGACAGTCATATGATTCCTCCCGCCCTTATAAGCCAATTTCCTCCCCCTAATTAACACCAGACAGTGTGGGACATCACCAGGATGACCAAAAAATGGCGACCACCAATTCTGCCTGATGGAATTTTGAAAAAGTCTTCTTACCTTCGTATATTTCCTCGTAGTCCTGCAGAATGTCGATGCCGAAGAAGGTGCTGATGATGTCAGGGTAGCGAAGGTCCATGAAGAGCACAACGATGCCTACCAGCAGGCACACCAGTCCTGCACGTAGTTAAATGCCTATTTCTATAATTCCAAGCAATGAATGAGTGAATTAACGCAATCATCTTATCTAAACAAATCACGTGAAATACAGAATCTGCGTCTCCCTTCGGTGTGTGATGCTACAGCTGGTTTTTCCCAGCGTTCTCAGAAAAAAAAAAAAAAAAGGAATATTCTTACACCCCTTTTTTCATATGCGACGCCCTAAAAATTCAGTTGGACGTACAGCGCGCTGACATCGAATCGACGTTACCAACTTTCACGAGCGGCTTGACAGCCGAGTGATACAACTTATTATAATAGCTAATGTACAGTACGTGCTACTGACTACAAAAAAAAAAAAAAAAAAGTGATCGGGGTTTTCTTGGCCTTACTGCAAAACCTCAGTGATTTTTTTTCTGTAGTCTTTGACACGTACATTAGCTGTTTAATGAAGTATATTTCACCGTTCTGAAGCCCCTCGTAAAAGTTGGGGCCGTCTGTTCGACATCAGTGCGCTTGCTGTACGTCGAATCAAAACTTTGGGGTGCGTTATATGGGACAAAAGGGTGTAAGACGACACCAGACATGTATGTAACGCGTTACTGGTAACCAGTTACTTCTACCTAAACTCCGCCTCATTAAAACCGTGCAGCACAGCTAAAACTACAGGGGAGAGAGTGTATCCCGAACTGCTCAAGAGTAGAGAAAGGAGGAAAAGGGGGAATCCCAGCCCTTCTCTCCCGTTCCTCCTTTCCCTCCTCTTGAACAGGTTGGCATACGCGCTCTCTTATGTAGCTTTAGCTGTACTACACGGTTTTAGTGAGACGGAGTATAGTTTTTTTTTTGTTTTTTTTAAGGAACGAGTAACATACTTATTTACTTGTAAGGCCAAGTAACGAGTAACAGTATTTCGTTATTTTTGAGGGGTAACATGTACAACAGCGTTTATACAACCTCGTTTTAATTCTAACCTGAGTATGCGTTTATTGCGACAAAGGCAGATGGGCAACCCGAAAAAGAACTAAACAGTATTACAGTAAAGCACATTTATCGCTGAACACGATGGTCGAACTCTACGGCTGGGAGTGCCCTTCACCCAGCGAACACGATAAGATTCGTTGGTCGAACTTTCTGGAATCGTGTACAGACCGAATGTAAACCCGGAGGTCGCCGCCAGCGCAGGAATACACAGATCCCATTGTCAACTTGGAACTTGAGAAGCAGAGAGAACAAAAGAGAAACGAGGATCCCAGATTCACCAGCTCTTCCCGAAGCACAACACTGCATGCCGTTCTTTCGAGCGCGTCAGTAGAACGACTGGTCAGCACTGCCGGAGTTGTATTCTCAAGCAAGCGGGGAAACATGACTCATGAAAACTTTGAAAAAAGACTATAAACCATGAAACACAAGCAGCTGTGTATTTGGCCTTTAAAAGTAACGAGAAAAATAACTCGTTAGTTTGAAGTTAACGTAACGGGTTCGTTTTGAGAATCGGCGACAAGTAACGTATTTAGTTACTTTTTGAGCTAGTAACGAGTAGAAATATTCAGTTACTTGTTCGGATAACGTGTACTTGTCTGATTTTAGTCAAAGCCGTTTACCCTACCCTGTAAACATGACATGCTAACTTCTTGTTGACTGTAATGACCTCCTTCTGACTTCATCGTTCTGTTCTTTTCTGGTTGAAAACTTTTTGTTGGCATTCCTGTAGATAGTGTTAACAGAAAGTCTACAGGGTTTCTGAATTCCTTTCAGATTGAATTATGTCACTTGTATCTTCTAGCCAGCTGATAACTTTTTTTTTTTTCATTTTTCATTCAATTTTGTTTTTTCAATCTTGAAGAACATGAACATCTACTGTGTTAAAAATTACGAAAACTACGTAAGTTTGCAGACAGAGCTACGCGTGCTTTGTGCTATAAAAATGAGGTCAAAACAAAGTTCACCATTTGGAATCCTCTGAACGACCGTCAAACTCAATTTTAAAACAACTCATGCAACTCGCCATTGATCTAACCATCAAGAGGGTTGCTGCACCCGCGGGTCACATAACATCAACAAGTCGCACCAAGACGCTTGTCGAATAATACCATCCATCGTTTGAACGTTCCTGGGTGCCAGACTATTTATAAAAATATAAGAAAGTGCACACCGTTGACGAGGTTCATCCAGAAGCACCATCCGTAGATCATCCGGATGTGGACCAGTTGGTCACCGTCGTAAAATGGGACCTCCAGAGGGATGAAGTTGCGCACGCTTGCGTAGACTATCGTGCCCGCAATCAGACACGATCCCGTCAAAATGAGCACGCATGCTCCGTACCAGAGAACAGTGAAGAACACCAAGTTGCTCACGACCCACAAAGGAAAGGCAGTCCTGGAAGAACAGACGAATCCAAAGGTCATCAAAGCATCCATCTAAACTCATATCAAGTACACGTTCAGCTCTGAGCCTACAAGGCGGTCTCTCTCCTGTGCTATAGACAGGTTTAATGGTTTCTATGTAGGAGCACATTTACGAGTTGACGCACACCATGACAACATGGCTGGGCAGGTGAGAGGGGCTTACCACAGTAGAATGTGCGTGTACCACCCTGCTGTCCGGTAGTGCCTGCCGAAACGGATGCCTTCGCCGTCGAAAGTGAAGTACTCGGCAATCCAGAGGATCGGAAAGGGAGTTCCTTTCACTTGCGCCGTCCGGAAGTCCCGGTTGAAATGACCCGCTGGAGGCGACAAAACCAATAAAATTGAACATAACTCCAACTCCAAACTGGCTTAGGTTTCCCAATCTCGCTTCAGTCTAAATGGTTCGCTTGTTATAAAGGGCGGTGCCATGCAGCGCAAAAGGAACTATTAGTTCTAATCTGTCTTTCCAAAAACAATTACAAAAAATGCCAGTCGCAGCTTCTTGCACATACGTTTGGAGAGAACTTCACGAAGCGCCACACTGTAGAACTTTGACAAGCAGGGAGCATTATTGTTGAAAGTTGAAACTGACTCGCGGAATAAAAGTTTCTTGTTATGTCCGTAAGTTTTTCATTCTTCTTTTTTTTTTTTTACGTAGTGAAGCTCGTTTATTTTGTCAAATACCTGAGTACCACATTTTTCTTATGCAGAAGCATCTGGCTATTAAAACCTTTTATAAAATCCGTCCGAATTCTCCGCATTGCTGGACGCTATGAAAGAGCATCGGTGGATGAGGGCATCGTCCACTCGCCGTCAAAACATACCACGACACATCAAGACTTCCACGAGAATCACGGCATGCGAAAGCACGTCCAGGAACGAGCAGATAAAATTACCTTGAGGTCCGAATCCCGCCCTGCCCTGCTCCCATGCCCATGTAAACCTTTCGTTGTAGTCCACCTTGTCGCCTGCCGTTCCCTCGTACACCGTCTCGTCTGAAAAGAAGACGTCATGATTGCAATGTTCACTGCGAGGGGAAACAAAGTCAAAACTTAAACCCCGTCAAGCGAAAAGTAAAATAGCTGCGGAAACTGAAAGGGGACAATCCAAAACGAAACCATCTATAAAAAATTCTAAAATATTAGACTTAGTCTTCTATTGTCCTTCCCCAGACTTTACCTTCCTTCCTTTATCGTGTTTCATCCTTATCTGAACATCTGCATATCTGCATGTGCACCTGAAGCGCCATTGTAGGTATAATGAACAAAGAAGAAAAACTTATCGTACCTGGCCTCAGAGCGACTATATTTGCGTTTTCAGCCAGGAAACCACCGTCAAGCAGGCTGGCACTATATGAAGCTACCCAACGAAGACAATACACGAATCCGGTGCGTTAGCTGAATCCAAATGCTTTGTGTCATTGATGCAGAAAGTTCCGGGCTACAAACGAGAAAACATGTATAGCAGGCAGCTCGGCGCACTGTTTACAGGTTGCACCTCTATTCATGTAGGTCTTGGTACGATACAGAACACAGTGATATAAAATACGGAAAACACATCTGAAACCAACAGCAAATTTGCCAACAGTCTCCTGAGCAGGCGGTGAGTGAGGGTATTTCGAAATAAATAGCGCGAAGGTCAAGAACAAACTGACGGTACAAGCGCTAACTCACAACTGTCGTTTTAATAATCACACAGAAGACGAGAAAGAGAACAATGAAGGAAGAGGGCGTTACGTTGTTATTTCTCAGTTCCCTCAACGTAACTTCCTCTTCCATCAAGACGATTTCATTTTGGGAATTTTCATACCGAAAAGAAAGACGAGAGAGAAACGCTACCTCTTTCTCGTCTTCTGTGTGATTATTAAAACGACAGTTGTGTAGCGCTTGTACCGTCAGTTTGTTCTTGACCTTCGCGCTATTTATTTCGAAATATGCATATCCAACTAGCCCACCTTAATATTTTAGTAGAGTGAGGGTACTTGATTGCATCTAGTTTTATTAAATCTCACATTTCTTATTAGGGAGTTTTCGTAGATCGTTTTTGTCGTACCGCAGCAACGCTCTCCGGAACCACCTACGGGGTCTGGAGCTCTGCAGGCAAGGCTAGATGTCACATGAGCAATAGTGCAATCCAGTTATAACATAGTGGCACCTTCGTAGTGGAGAAAGAAGCGGAGGTGTATTATTGACGCTCAAAAAATTTCTATCGGCGACGAGATGTTTCGGTGGCTCCCTCTTACAGTACCTACTTGTGACGTCACGACTTGGATTATTGATTGTCAGCAACAGTTTCGATGACGTGTGGAAAAAAAAATACGGTGGAAGCTTGTAGTAACCGCGTCCTTAGCCAACACCGTCGATGTTGGCACCTCACATCATTCTGATCCTCATTAATGAAAGTAAAATGTATCATATACAAGACGTCATAGCGAGCGTCTGGCCAACCCTGGAAGATTAGATTAGATTAGATTACATAGATAGATCGACAGACAGACAGACAGAGAGACAGACAGATAAAAAGATAGATAGATAGATAGATAGACAGACAGATAAAAAGACATATAGGTAGATAGATAGATAGATAGATAAAAAGATAGATGGATAGATAGATAGATAAATAAATAGATATATAGATAGATAGATAGATAGATAGATAGATAGACAGACAGACAGACACACAGATAGATAGATAGATAGATAGATAGATAGATAGACAGATAGATAGATAGATAGATAGATAGATAGATAGATAGATAGATAGATAGATAGATAGATAGATAGATAGACAGACAGATAGACGCACAGATAGATAGATAGATAGATATATAGATAGATAGATAGATAGATAGATAGATAGATAGATAGATAGATAGATAGATAGATAGACAGACAGATAGACGCACAGATAGATAGATAGATAGATATATAGATAGATAGATAGATAGATAGATAGATAGATAGATAGATAGATAGACAGATAGATAGATAGATAGATAGATAGATAGATAGATAGATAGATAGATTTTTTTTTTGGGGGGGAGGGGGGGGGGCGGTTCAGGTAAGTCAGCTGTGGGGTTCATGGCTTAAATGGCCAAGTGGCAACGAAATAGGGACTTACTTCGGAGGGTGATGTTGACGCTTCGTAGACCGATCTTCACCTCGATCTCAGCATGCAGCTCCTGGTGACTAAAAGCTCGGTAAGGGGTGACGGCTCTGATCTTGGAAACCTCCCACTCCTGGCCGAAATTGCAAACTGCACAAGAGAGGAGGTGTTCTTAGGGCGTCACGTATATTTTCCTCGCATCACTGTGTACAGCCGCAGTCGCGCCGCTCGAACATCATTACATACACTCTAAAAAAATCCCGTGCGTCTACTTTCCCGCACAACACTCGGAGAGCCAATCATCGCAACTTACGGAGGCAGCTCAGCGAATGACGATGCCGAAACATATATTTAGACCAAAAAACGTTGTCTGAGTTGTGACATTAAGCAATGCAAGCGTGACGTTTTGCATTTCTTAATGTCAAAGAGGTGACAAACAAGACCTCTTGTGTTTGTCCCCTCCTTGTATCCTCCGTCTTGGGTTTTAGAAATGTTTAACCAGCTGGCCTGCCTTAGTACGTTATCGTCTAATTACCTTATCTTTTTTTTTTCAATTTTAATGGGTGCCTATATTGGTCTACCCATAACGCGTTAATATAAAAAAAACACAAAAAGGAGAGTATTGCGGAAGATTTTGGTCACTACAGACGCGAAAAGTTTATGGTGCGATGGTCCCAACTCACGCAGTATGAAGGCGCCGATGAAGAGGCTCACGCCGACTCTCACCAGCACGTTTATTTTCTGCGAAGAAACGAGCGATTTTAGTGGCTCCGAAGGATAGCTACGAGGCTTAATTTGTCCGCATACATTGCAATTTTTTTTACGATATAAACATTAGTAGTTGCGTCTGAAAATAAAATTTTAAGAGTACAAAAAATTGTAAGGAGAAAAAATGCTATAGTAGTTATGCGTTTAATAATTTTGTGCTAGTTTTGACAAACGCAAAAGAGCAAGAGCAACACATTTAGACCTTCGTCGGAACACAAATATCTAGTCAGCTTCAATATATTGATATCCTCTAACAACAATTACTGCGTACGTCCAATACAGGAATGCAATACGACTTAGGTATTTTCCAACCTTTAGCTCGTGCTAAAGGTTGGAACCTTGCTGGTTCCGAAGAGTTCCGCGACATCATAAGGTATGCTATAAAAGCCTCATATAATTCCGTCGTCGTAAATGTCACAATAATTGAGTTATTCTACATCTGCCGCAAGTTTCACTTCAGTAATAAATTTTCGTTTAAACAAACCTTGCATGATTCGAGAAGGAGATAGAAAGGAAACGTTTTTAAGTACGTGCTTCAGAAATTTTTCAAGTGCAGAATTCGGCCGACACTGAGCAAGGTCTCCAGAACCCGAGATCTGCCAATTCTCTGCTGTCTTGTCAACACTCCTCGGGCCTGGGATTCTTATTTCTAGTACAAGATCGTCGATGCAACGTTTTCGACATTTCTAATCAATTCCGATATAACAATCTCTCACCTGTCCTCCTCGCACGCCTGGAAGCAGCAGCAGGAAAGCGAAGGTGAGAATGCAGAAGGCTAGGATGAGTCCCGCTTCGAGGACATCGGCCGTCACGGCAGTCTTGTTCTCGCCGTACATGGTCGGGAACGGCTTGTCCCGCAGCGCCGAAAACCAGGCGCTGGCCCGGTACATGACGTCCATCTTGGCGGCAAACTGCATATGCCAAAAGTTCACGGTTTAATCGTTTACACTAATTCCTTGTTTATACAGGTTTGTAAGCAGCTGCGCTTTAAAAGCTCGTCTGGCAACCATGAGTCTGCCTATGCAATGCTCAATGCTTGACTATCAGACGACCCATATCTACGCGATCTACATCTACGCAAGATGTCGGCACCCAGGGGCCGCACTCGCAAACGGGTATAAACAATAAAGTTCATCTAAATGAGCTGAAGGTATGCTGAGCATTCGCTGGAGCCGGTTTTATTAAGAACAAAGCATCTGCGCATGCTTCCTGTTGCGTATAACTAAGCGAACTAGGAAGACAAGGACAAGAGAGGACATCACTATGGTCTACAATACGGAAACATGGGCTAGTTGGTTCAAATTCATAGAATTGTGTGATGGAAACCAGGACAATCGAAGACACCACAAGGCTCTAATATAGTGTATTCCTTGCGTTATGGTGCTTTTGCTATGATGTCAAGACATTGTGGTGTCCTAGGTGGCACAGATGTCCTATATACATTTTCAGGAAATCCAAGACAGTTAGGACGTCATAAGAACGTCCGTACAGTCACGTGAGCTACCAGGTGTCGTGGACTGCCTGACTTTTTCTGGCGTTCTTAGTTCTACAGATATGTACTTCCAAACTGGCCTGTGGCATTAAAGAAATGGGTTGATGGAAGCATGATCTACTTACCAAATGGGCTTGATACTCGTAGCACTGACGAAGCGAATGTAAGATGGCACATGCCTTTGTTAATGAAAAAGATCGTTGGTCTCATGAAAACATGCAATCTCTGCCGGTCTTCTTACCACAATGTTTAGCTGCGCACGGATTACAGGAATGGTCTGAAATTTCTTATATTAATTAAGGTGTATATATACCCTCCGTTGTGCTTCTGCTAGCGTACTGAAATTTTTCCACTGCAATCTACTTTTTGATCGGACAGGTTAGGTTACCGCAATTCATCATATGTAGTTAAACTTTCAAAATATTCTTAAATGGTCGTGATGAAAGTATAAACTTTGCTTAATCAAGCAGAGGATTTGAAGCTCGCGGAAGCCTGGAATATTGTTGGACTTAGGGTGCCTCAATGTCCTTCTGTTTAGGGTGATGCCACCCTTTGTAGTACCAGATGCCGACAGCACGCGCTCACGGGGAAAATACAAAGAAATCGACGAAAACAAAATGTCGCCATAGCACAGTCAGCGCCACAGACGCGTGCAGGGACACGCTCTTTCACGCGGTTCTGAACAAAACATAAAAACAAACGTGTGTGTGTGACAAAATGGCGAGATGCCACCACCCTAAGCAAAGCGCACATGAAGGCACCCTAGTTGGACTTAAATCACAAAAGTGTGCCACCTAAGTATAAACCAAACTGAGAAAGGGGTAATTACCCCTCTCTCAGCTCTCCTAAAATCACAATACAAAGACATGCTAATGGTAACGCCGTACTTGTTGGGGCTTCTTGGAACCGGGCTCACTGAAAGGGCTAAGCCTAAAAATATATACTATTGTCCATTGCGGTTTTTGTTTTCAGGCCAGAAGGTTAGTGCTCAAACTGATATACTTTCTCGAAGACGTACCTTTCACTTAGTGCGCTGGCAGACGTATACTTCACTCGCACAACGGCAGGTTTCAACCGAACTCACTCTGGAACTCAAAGTTGTCTCAACTATGACGATAGCAGCAGTTGGGATTTGCCTCGAGGGAACGACAATCATGTGTTAATGACCCACTATCTTCTCTACATTGGTCCTTGAGCACGAGCTGATAGACAACTAAACAAGTTTGCCTTTTGAAACCGCAATAAGCTAAAGCACAAATACGCTTTACAGTGAAGGGAACGAATGATCACAACGTTATAAAACTAAATAAAGTGATTTTTATATCATCTTGTATTTGTTATGACATTTTGTTTCTTTATAAAGCAACATGACGCCACAAAACGCCGGATAGCAAACCGCACGGTCCACTGTAGCCAATTCGACACCACAGAAATAGCTTACTGCTGCTCGACGGTGTGTGGTTAACTGACGTCAAAGTAGCGCGGCACCGTGCAAACATGTGATGCTTTGTACTGAGCCGCAGACATAAACGAGTCTCCATCTACAGACACAATATAGATATATAATTGTTGCATTGCAACAATTATATATCTATATTTTTTTTTTGAGAATAACTCTTGAGATACACAAATCAGGTTGAAGAGCAGCATCACACAGAGCACTTACCGAAATATAATTTCCCTTTCGATGCTGATCTCTGAGAAATGTATATTGCATTCGAGGCTCGAATAGTGGCTGAAAACGTGAGTACTGTTTTGTACTGATATTTTTCTGTATTTTCTTTGCCTTATGTTATTCCCTTACCTGTTATTGACTGTGAACTAAGTATCCGAGTTTTATTTCTCCCCCGAACAGCTGAGAGCTATGGATTAGTGCGGCTCTCCTTTTACCCACACCCTAAAAAGAAAGAAGGGTGTATTCTTACACCCTTTGTTTCATATAAAACACCCCAAAACTTCGGTTCGACGTACAGCGCACAGACGTCGATCTGACGGTACTAACTCTCACGAGAGGCTTGGTAGCCGTGTGGTACAACTTATTAAAATAGCTAATGTACGTGTTACCGACTACAAAAAAAAAAAAAAGAATAATCGGGTTTTTTTTTGTCCCTACTGCAAAACATCAGTGTTTTCTTTCTGTGGTCTTTGATAGTACTTTAAGCTATATAAAAAAAGTTATTTCGCATTGTTATCAAGCCCTTCATAAAATTTGGGTCCGTCTGTTCGACTATAGTGCACTGTACGTCGAACTAAAGTTTTGGGGTGCATTATATGAGACAAAAGGATGTAAGGCGATACCCCTTTTTTTAGAGTGCATATACTACTGCCAAAGACAAAATATTCTTAATTCTCTCTCAAACAATTGGTCAACGGAAATAACTACTTACCCTACCGAGCCAATGAAAGCCCGAGGTCACTTGCAGAGGAACTCCTCGACTCTTCGACGCGGTTCGAAGACCAAAAGCGACAAAACGGCGGTATCTACTTAAGGCGAGTACTCCGTCGTGCCACGCGCTTCCACATGCGCTGGTTGGAGAATTGCAGCTTCATCAGTAGTTCCTTCAGTCTAGTCGACAGAGGAAGTATCTCTTTCCTGCGAGCAACATCCGCGAAGTGTGTACTGGAAGTGCCTCGGTTTATCGCTGACCGGCAGCGTACATCCGCCCGCACTTTGCCTTACAGTCGCTGAAGTCATCGAAGGCTCTCCTTGTCTGCATCGACTGCATCTCGCGACGAGTTGTGTCGCCATGCGCCCGCCATGGCTGCTTGAAATAGTGCTATTGGCAGGAGTCCTTTTGCCCCTTGTGAGGACACAGACCGAGGCTGTGACAAATGCGAATCTTCCACCAGATACACCTTCTCCAATACCGCAGCCATCACCGTCCAACGAACCATTAGGTAAGAGTGAACGTTATCCTAGCGCCATAGACCATTTAGAAGATCCCGGGTGATGAACAACGTTTATTGTGCAAAGAAGCGAGTTATATATGCTAGAACAGACGCGACACAACATGTCAGGCGTTACAGGATCAGTAGCAAATTACGTGACGTCAGGATGACACAACTTATGTCCTGCTGCTGTTTGAACGGTCCGAACATACTGCACAATGGCGACAAGAGACACGACGATACATGGAAGTCTGCAAGAACTGTATAGCACAACGGTCAAGCGGTAATTGGGGAATTTCTAAGGTTGCTGCAACGGTGATGCCGCTTTCAGTGTCCGCTATCGGGCAGGACTTTCAAAGCTTCCGACAGAAGATGGACATCCTAAAAGGTTCGACTCCATAGACGCCGTTACTGTCAATCTTTTCGCTTTTTTGCGTTCGAGAGCGGAATCCCGTCTTAACTTGAACTGTTTCCCAAGGTGAACTCGTACTGAGTTTATTTATTCCTCGGTTAACGTTCCAAATAAAGCGATTTATTTTAGGTTCTAATTTATTTACGGACTTTTGTATAT